CCCCCCCCCCCCCCCACACACACACAACTACATCCGCCCCTTTTAAATGACTCAGTTGATTGAATGAAGGAATACAATTACTTTGCATTAAGTTAGATTGGGAACTCAAGCAAAAGTAATGTCCTATCAACTATGTAGGAAACTGTGATGTTATAGTAGGATTATGTTGGATTGCCTTATGTCCTGAGAAGAACCGATTAGCATTATTAGACTGCATGATCAGTAAAACAGGAAACAAATAGGATTAATTAAGGTACTAAAGCAACGATAGTAGCCAAGCATTAGTTTGTACATGTATATTAAAGCAGCCATGAGGAGATCCAGTTGGGATAGTAATAAGAATTTCTCTACTGCTATAGGTTGCATCAAGGTTTGACCTTGGGTTCTTATCTTTCCGCTTAAGTCTATATCCATTGCCTCAAGGGATGGGTGGGATTTTTGTCTGTACCCATTATGAAGTACCAGAAAGGGTGAACATAGTGTAACCTTGACTCCCATGATTATATCAAATATCAATACATCAACTGCAGTTAAACTGTTTATCTTTCCTGAAAATAGCTTATATAGTCAACACAATGGTTATAAACTTCAACATGAGAAAGACCAAGATATTTATTTAGAAAAAAATTAAAAAGAGGTTTTTCTCTTTCTTTGAAATGTGGTGATGGATCATGAAGGTGATTGGAAATGATGAGCGAGAGCCAAGGTAGGAATCAAGATATTTGATAAAATAAAATTAAAAGGTGATTTTTCTCTTTCTTTGAAATGTGGTCATGGATCATGAAGATGATTGAAAATAATAAAGCGAGAGCAAAAGTATATGGTTTCGGTCCAGAATCAGAGGGACATTGAAGAAGATGGCGGGACTACATTACCAATGAGCGAGTGTCATACTTAGGCGAAGACAATTTTTCTTTTCGGGAAACTTGGACTTATTAGAATTGAGGAAGGATGAATTTGTTTCTGGTGCTTTGCAGTCTTTCTAAAACTCCATCGAAGGTGATTGAGAGAAATGGCAAGGATTTGGGTAGTTTTAGGATATAAACAGAGAAAAATGGAGATTTTTTAGCTGTCAGTTGAGAGTGTGTTTTAAAGAAGAGGAAGTGAAATGCTTGGTTATGTGAAATGTTTTAAAAATTGTAAAGTGTGGCTAGGCGCAAGGCCAAAGCTTTAAACTTTTATGAGTCTAAGTGGGCCTAGGTGAAGCCTAGGCATTAAAAAAGCGTAATGCATGGCTAGCGGCAAGACCAAGCTTTGCCATGGCACACTTTCTAAAACACTGGTTATGAGTTCATTGACTCGGTTGATTGAATGAAGGAATACAATTACATTGGATTAAAGTTAGATCTTGAACTCAAGAGATTGCAATGTCCTATCAACTATGAAGGAAACTTGACGCTAGAGTAGGATTAAGTCGGATTGAATTATATCAGGAGAAGCGTCTATTAGTATTATTAGACTGTATGCTCAATAAGACGGAAAAAATAGGATTAGTTAAGGTACTTAAGCAACAATAGTATCCAAACATTAGTTTGTATATGTATAATAAAGCAACCACATGAGGAGATTCAGTGAGAATAGTATTAAAAATTTCTTTATTACTATAGGTTGCATCAAGGTTTCACCTCGTATTCTTATCATTTTGCTTCAGTCTATACCAACAGCCTGATAGTTTATCTGATTACAGCTCTGTCCTATGATAATTGGTTGATGTAGATGACATGACTACCATGGTTTCCTTGGTTTTTCTAATTCATTTGGCTAATGAAAATCATTTCCTTGTTTTCATTACTCATGAGGAAGAAAGTAATATAATGTAGTCATTTTTACTTGTCAAAATGTGTGCTCCCTTATAATAGACAGAGATTCATGAATGCATCACTGATGTATATTGAAATGCACTAATAATCTTCTTCCCCTTTTTGTGTTGAATTTCTTACTTGAATTGTATGATTGTCCAAAGATCCTGTCAGTTGTCTATAAATGCACGAAGCACATACTTCACCATGTTGGTTTCTGTTATTTTAACTACTCGTTTTTTACTTGATTTAGTTTAATTTAAAGGGAAGGTTGGTTGTCTTGTGACAATGAAATGATATGAAGTTTCTTTGAAAACATTATCCTGAATAAAAATATAGATGAACAAATGTTTTGATGGTTTGATAAACATCCCACCACGGTTCTAAGGTATTATGTAACCTTTAAGAGTGTGGCAGAAATTGAAGTATAGGAGTTATAATTTTCCTAAAAATATATTGCTTGGAAAAATTTAATGCGAGTTAGTTTTGTACTCGTTAGCAGTCAACAACTTACTTACCTAAAAGAACCAATAGACAATGATTGGACTATTGTTGGACGCAACAGTGAGACCTAAATCAAATTTATGCTTAAATTTTCCTTAGAGATTCTGATCCCCAGAAAAGAAACATGGAATTAGAAGAACTCCTACGGTATAGGATTCTGCTCTCTTTTATTTTTGATCCTTGAGAACTTCTGTAAGAATTACAAGTGTGAATTGTGAAGAAAGACAAAAAGACATCAATTGTTGCTTGATACTGTTCTAGAATGGCTTAGAAATAAGATGCAATCCTCCACAAAAATATTTTGGGTAACATTGTATCAGAGTTTGATTTGACTTGGCTCTTTGTTGTCTTCAAGCCATATGCATTTGTCTCTGGTCTGTCTCAGTTCTGTAAAATTTGTTCGTTGAGCTCAGATGTCGGCCCTGGTCACGTGAGGAAAAAATGTGACAAAGGAAATAAGCTTTGCCCCACGTTGGTTATTTGGTTACAAGTAAGGTTGACTATGTCAATGGCATATAGGTTGGAACTTAGCTTCATTATGGTTTTTAACACTATGATTAATAAATTGGAAGCTCATTAATAATGAAATTTTAGGCAAAATATAAGGAAAAAGTTCATTCTTAGTACTCTAGTTATTCAATTTTTTTAACAATTATGTATATTATGATAGAAAAATGTGAGATGGCTTCTTGTCCTTGTATATGCTTGTACATCAAATCAAGTACATTGTAATTTATTTTTTAGATCTAAACATGTATATTGTATTTGTTTGATGATCTTAATGTATAAGTTGGCTCCAGAAGTGCTCAAGCGAAACTATGGACCAGAAATAGATATATGGAGTGCTGGATTTATTCTCTATATCTTGTTGTGTGGAGTTCCTCCAATTTAGGCTGGTATATTGAATTTCCTCAATATACTCTCTCTCTCTCTCTCTCCCTGTGGCGAGCTTCTTGTTCTCATGCAGGCATACTCTTGCTTTACAGTTTCCATCTGCCTTCCAGTTCTTTAGAGTTTGTAGTGTTAGGACTGTATGCTTTTCACCTTTAATGCTTTATATTCATTAGAAATCATGTTTTTTGGTGTTCCACTTCAGTTCAGACCTGCTTGTGTGAATTATGATACATTTTTCCATTTTTTTAATCATGTTTGCAACCATGATTAATCACCTGTCTAAAGGAAGTTTTTTCACAGAATCTGAACAAGGTGTTGCTCTGGCCATTATACTTAGGAAAATAAACTTCGAAAGGGAACCATGGCCAAGCATTTCATAAAGTACCAAGAGTCTTGTACAACAGATATTGGAGCCAGATCCTAAGCTTCGACTTACTGCAAAACAAGTAATGGGTAAAATATTGTTCACATTTGCTCAGTTATTTGATAAATATGAAAAATCCTTTTTGATTATGCTTTAAATTTGTTCTGTTGATACAACCACCATTCTCTAATATTTGATTTCGTGCATTTTGCATTTACGTAGTTCTTAGGGAGCATTAGTGCTCATTTTGCTTGGTTACCTTCTTTACTGAATCTTGAAATGCTTTCTATTTTTTAAGTTATCATTTTACTATTTGTAAATACAATTCTTTTGCTCTAGATTTTTGTCCCATTATGCATGTAAAATTGATTTCGCCCCATAGAAAATGGAAGAAAATGTTAAAATATCTAATTATTTAAAAGTTCGGCTTTGAACAAAGTGTCTAGCTTGTTATTAATTGATTACAATAACTATCAAACAAGTTAGCCATGAGAACCATGCTCCATAATTAAAAAAAATGATCTTTGCATTGTCAGATTGAGTGGAGTCGATGTTGTACCAGATAATATCAGATGATGGGTAATAGTTTTCAGGTACACAGATGATGTCACTTTCGAGATATGTGGTTTGTGTTTTCTTTGTAATTGATAAAGAAAAAAAAGTTATATCTATAAACTTGTTCCTTCTATGATAATTTATTCTTACTATAGTTCGGTTGAGACAGAACTTTCGAAATCTAAATTTCTGTGCCCAGCTTAGATTTCTTGCTCTTTGTTTATTGTAAGATAAATGATCTTATACTTCTTCCCCTTCCTTAGCCAGTGAATTATGGCAGCTCATGCTGCAATCTTGTATGGATTTGATCATGGGAAAGCCAAGTCCAATATATCCTACAGAATGGATCTTTTGTGTAAGAGCTACTTGTTGTTTCGTGTTTTCTAAATTCTCTATATTGCTACAGGTAGACATGAATGGAAAAGGAACCACGGACTGCGGAGATTTCTTGCCATTTCACTCCATCTACAAAGGATGGCCAATGATGAGCATCTTCACTAGGATTTTTCCTATTTCGACAGATGGCAATGGTCATATTGAGCCTGATGAGCTTCAAGATTCCTTAATGGAGGATGGAGCACACGATTGTGCAAATGTAGCAAAGGACATATTCCAGGAGGTTGACTCAGACAAGGTGACATCAAATTCCTAAGCATTGAATTTACTGAGTAGATGAATTTGTTCTCAATCATTCAATTATGAATGCAGGATGGAAGAATCAGTCGTGATGAATTTGTTGCTATGATGAAAATGGCACGGACTGGAGAAAGGCTTCTTGGCATTACTTAAGAGGGCGATTCAATAGTCTAAGCATAAAGTCAATGAAAGATGGTTCTATTAACCTGTGTGAGTAAATATACACAAGTTCATCTTTTCATAGTATAAAGAACCGAGGCACTGCTAATATGTTTCACACTTGATTTCTTTTTCACTATTTGCAGGATTAAATATTAGATGGGGTTCCATTGATTGGTGGCTTACAATAATCATAGACGAGACAAGTACATCTGATTAGCCTCTTCAAATTGTTGATTTAGTAAAAACAGTCTTGTAGCCCGTGAATATGCCTTGCACGATCCTATCATCTCATCTCTATTAACAATTTTAAGTACTTTTTGTTGACAAGTTGAAGTAGGAAATTTGATAATTCTATGGTATATTTGTGTCAAAGAACCAGCTTCATCTCGAATGCGTCCTTCTTTGGGGGCGTTAAGGCACGAGTAATAGGTTATGCATGGCATCTCTCTCGATGGTGTTAGAAGACTTATACATACATACATATAGTCATTTTACATGGACACACCCACTCGTGCACAAAAATATGTATTAGAGGTTACAAATGATCTTCCGAACTTGCTAAAATCAGATGTGCTTTATGTCCAATTCTTGAAACTATTTTTCTTCTCCATCCCCCCTCCCTTAGGTCCTCACTGGTTTATTTTATATTCTAGATTGGATATGACTAGAAATAATTAAGAAATAGATCCATGTGAAGTGTTTTTATTTGTCGTCCAGCCTAATTCAGTGTACTAGACGTGGTATCATGACCTTATGTCTTTTTCTTATTTTCCATCAATTGGTCATTGTGGGGCTTTTTTGTGTGAGGAACTCCACTAGATCTTGTGTAGTTGTCAAAAATCAGGAGATTGTCACGGGCAAATAATTCCCACTGTAGGGTGGGTGGGGGAAAGAGCTGTACAAATCCCTTTTGCTATGTGTCTTGACATGTTCATAATTGAATTGACTATGGATCCTTATCTCTTTATGATTTGCCCAAGGCATGGGTGCCAATTCTTGTACACATCCCTCATCTGCAGCAATGGAATTGTACTCGAGTTTCTTGTATCTTATGGGTTGTATAGTACCGGGTTATGATTCAATAGTAAAATTTAAAGTCTAAAATGTTAAAATTTTGTTCTTTATACTATGACCTTGTTTGATCCCCATTTTGATCAAAATATATTTTTCTCTTTCATTTTAACTACATAGTTTTCAATAAAATAATATTACACACAACTCGAAAACTTTTTTTTAACTACATATTTTCCATCAATCTATTATTCAAAAATGCATTCTACACAAAATAAAAATAAAAAAATAATGGGTCTCAAACAATACTATATAATCTTTTGAAGTAATAGTGTAATAAACACATGCAAATGTATTTGTTACTCGGTAAGTGCAATTATTGAGAGTCTGTTTTTTTATGAAAATTACACGAATTGTAATGAAATGGGAATTAAAGTGTCTTAATAATTAATTTTCAACTTGTAGTCCACCGTAGGGATGACAAAAAAATTCGACAAATTCGATATCCGCAGGACTCCGTCCCAAACGGGACCAGGATTACCTGCTTAATCGGGTGTTAGGGTTGGGTCGGGGACAGATCAAGGAATTTTGCCGTGGAGCAGGTTCGTGGTAGGGACGGGTAACGGGTGCTCAGTCCCTTTTAATTTATTATTATTATTTTTAGAATTCAATACTTGAAATTAAATTTCACGAAAATTTTTTAGTTCTAATAAAAAATGACAATTAAAATTATCTAAAAAATATGACAAACAATAAAAGTCTTAGTTTACCAAATATATTTAAATAATTTAACTTTTAAAAATAAGTAAAGATTAAAAAATATATTATTGTTTCAATCCAATGAATGGAGACAATAAAATGAATTATCAAAAACTTAAATAAATAAATAAACGGGATAATAAACGGGACAAGAGTTTCCCCCCGCCTCCTCTTAAACGAGTAATGGGACGTGATGGGGAATTGTTTGGCGGGGCGGGGGAGATTGTCTCGTCCCGTTGCCATCCCTAATTCACCGAGGCTAACCATTATTAGTATTTCAACTTGCAGTGCAATGAGGGTTTAATCCTCTTCTCAATTTTCAATCTCTGTTTTTGCTCGATACAGAAGAATAAAGAAACAATAGAATTCCAGCTTGTTTGCCTAAACGACAAAGGTTTAGATGATAAAAGCAAAACACACGTATTGAAATTGTTTTTTAATATTCATTGGAAGTCGGCAATTAGGCATACAAATGCAACTTTAAGAACATAATTATAAGCCAAAGTGGAATTATAATTGGCATTGCACAATCTTATATCCAAGGTTGTGTGTTTGGGATATGACCACTGGCGTCTGTCGCCAGCCATCAAATCTAATATTTTATTGCTGGCACCACTGGAGGATTGGAATAGACTTTCGTTTATTATACTATTTAATTCGGTCGGATATAATAATTTTGTGTACAAAAAAGGAAAAAAAAATAATATTTTGCCATGTTCAATATGCTTGATCGGGAAAAAAAAAATGATATTAATTTTGGCAACTTTTAACTCTCGAGTTCCAAATAAATAAAGAAACCTGCACTAAAAATCTAATGCGGATCGAGAAGATTTTTTACTAACGAATTATTTGGAGATAAACATGAACAACTTTTGTGCTGTCATTTTTCAAACCTAAAAAAAAACTTTTAAGCTTGTGTTTGATTTGTTTTATTTTTCATGAAAAATGTCATTTTCACCTAAATTTTTACTTTTGGGGTGTTTGATTAACAAATTTTTTCATGAAAAATATTTTACAATTTTTGATATGTGACCATATTTTCCTTAAAATTAAGAAAAACATTTTCTTTAGGGAGGATGATTTTTACTTTTCAGGTAATTCACTCTCTCTCATCTACTCGCCAATAAAAATGGACAAGTATAATATTTTTTAAGTTGAAAATTAAATCAAACACGTTTAATTAATAATTTTCATACAAATAAATTCTAAACAATTATTATCTAAAAGTATACATAAAGTTTGACACTCCTCTCATATGGAGATTGCGGACCCCACGCCCCATGTGAGGGGAGTGTCAAAATGTATGTACACTCTCATCATTATCCATATATTTTTCAAACCCTATGGGCACGTTTTTATATTCCATTTATGTACTTCCAATGGGGGTTTGCCATTTGCCAACCAAATACGATAATGTCAAACACCTTGGATAGGTTGAATTGGTTGCTTATTATTAAACTTTAATTCTTTTATTTTCAAGAACAATAAAAAATTGTACGAAAGTCGGGAGCGTTTCTTTTAAATCAATTCTACCCTTATCTTCTTAAGAAGGTCTTTCTCATGGGATTGAGATAGGAACATGCTTTTATGACCATCGTGGAATGATTTAGTGGGCCTTCTCCTCGTTTCACTAGAGAAGCTTGTCGATCGGTTGTCATTTCACAGTAGCGGGTTAGTGGGGGTAGGAGAGTTGTTCTTTACTACAATCACCCTTAGAAGCACCTTTTAACTATTTTGTTGAATTGATGATCAAACTTGATTTCAATTAATGCGTGTGATTGTTGGGTTGGGGGCGGGTCTATTGCTTGTCTTCAAGAAATACATGGATGATATCCACCCAAGAAAAAGACTATAGCACTACTCTCCACCCAAACATTTGGTCACATCATTTCATTTTAATACTTAAGACGACATCACTTCATTGTTGGTTTCTATCTAGTGAGCTATTTGGGTAACAATCATTTTCCTAAAAGTGAGTACATTTTAACTTATTTTCACATATTAATCTCTTGCAGAAAAGTTCTGTAAAATTGTTTACGTTTGACATGTAGAATTGGACATATGAATGAACGATCAATTAACGAGTCAATTTAATTTCAAGGTAAATATACTTTGGTTTGATTTAAACCAGGCAAATATATATTTCAAATTTCTTCAATCAGATAGCTACAATTTTATTTGATTTAAAGTGTTAACTTGAATAAAATAAAATTAAAGTGTAGTTATCCGATCGAACAAAATAGAAGTATAATTACCTAAATGAAATCAAACCAAAATATATTTATATTAAATGGAATTAAATCTTTTTTCACTATTTAAATTACACGTGTGATGATAGTATGTGATTGATGGCCACATAATCAAATTGCATTAGTCAAATTAATGTAGGCGGACGAAATTACCTTGAATTATATTAAATTAAAGTGTTGTTTTTTCGATTGAACAGAATTGAAATACAGTTACCTGATTAAAATCAAACCAAAGTATAATTATCTCGAATAAAACTTATCATAACTTAATAGATTCTAACACACATAGTTTCTCTTGCTTGAGCTTCGATTTTTATATTTGATATTGCATCTCATTTGTCACATGTTTCTTTTTTTTCATTTGTTCTTTTAGTAGTTGGACCTCAACTCAAGTGTAGTGCTCGATGTGAACGATTTTTACAAGTAACTTGAATACTTTTCTAAATGCTACAAATATGTACTTTAGACTTTTGGCTCCAAATTCTTCTATTATAATCAATATCACTGACTCATAGATTAATTAATTAATTAAACTTATACATACATTTGCTAGCATTGTTGAATTGGTGTTGGTCTATGTTTGGCTAAGCTTAAAAGACAGAACTTTTAATTTAAAACACTTCGAATATGTTATTTTTTATTTGTATGTAAAAAAGTTTACATATTTTGACTTTAAATTTTAATAAAATAAAAAGAATAAATCCAAAATCAACCGAATTATTTCCACTTTTAGATAAATAAATGCATTGAGTCATCACGAATAAATTCATCGCAATAATGTTGTATATATCCTTATCCTTTGGGAGTATTTGGTAGACTTTCTACTTTATTCTATTTTCTTTAAATGTGTCGTCGATGCAATAATTATCGATAGACTCTTTTTATGTCTCGATACACGTGTTTTATCCAAACCTCCTTAAACCTAGTTACGATACTATTCTCATTGATATGTAATGCGTCTTTATTTTTATC